CAGTTTCCTGGTGAGTTGGGGCAGAGAAAGGAAGGAACCCAAGAGAAAATCCCGGATTCTTCCCTTTCTAGGCTGTGGCCTGCTGGACCTGGGATCAGCAGCCCACGATCCTACTTTGACTGGGCTCCAGGCCTCTGAGGCCTGTTCCCCACTGTAACCCAAGAGAAAATTGACCTTTGGAAACACGGCCTTGGTTTCCACCAGTCCTCCCGCCAGCCTCAACCATGGGGGCACAGCGCCACCTGGAGGTAATAGAGGAAACTGCAGCACCAGGAGGGATGACAGGAAAGGCAGGAAGAAATAAAGACCACAGACCAACCTATTGCGAGCATGTATGAAGTTCCACGCTATGAAGCACCTTAAATACTAGGAAAGATGATGAGGGGATTGAAGGCCTACAATTGTGTCAATTTGGACATTAAGATTTATATGATCTCATTTGTCACTCCCTTCCCCCAGCCTAGAGAACTTTCAGGTTCACGGATACAAGATGCCGACACACTAGGTGCCTAATAAATGCTTGTTGAGTTCAGTTGTGGCTCTCCAGAGTGACGGCCCAATCGTGGAGGGATCTGAATTTGAGGAACGTAATGGGAGGCAATAGCTCCGGAAGAGGATAAAGGGCGAGGGATGAAGGCCTCGTAGTTTCACCAGGCGGACCCTCCCTCAGGCCCAGTCAGCCCCTCTGCCCAAAGCCAGTGTCACTAGCTCAGCCTCGTGTGCCCTACTCTCAGGGAAGGGAAATGCCAGGTCCCTGGGCTGGCATCTGGAAAACAATAAGGCAGCTGCAGGGGAAGTGACTAATGAGCTCCAGGGAGCAACTCAGGACATCATACATGGAAGCTTCTCTCATTCAAAATTGATAAGTTACCACTATCTAATTAGAGAGAAAAATGTGCTGATCTCCCCAGCTTCGTGGGAACATAGTCCTGAGGCTGTTTGCGGGTAGCTAGCCTGAAGAGGGCCCACATCTCCTCTGTCAGACCAGCAGCCCCGAAGAGGGCCTCAAAGCTGCCCTCCTCACTCCCTCGTCCATTTTCATCTCTTAGATGCGCCAACTGTCAGAGCTGGATGGAGACTTGGAAGGCTTCTAATTGGACTTGCTCCTTTTCTAGACAGAGCTGAGGCCCAGAGAGATTAAATCACTCCACTGAGATCACACAGCAACACAGCCAGGACCCGAAAGCAGGCCAGCCTCCATGCTGCCAGTCCAGACTATTCCCCACCACACAGTGACATTGTCCCAACTTTCCTGTGTGGAGACCTCAAGGCTCTGGTCAGCTTGCTGGACGTGATCTTTCTCTTACACAATTTAGCCACGTTGGCTCAAGGGCCTAAGAGAGGCTCTTCCCTCACTCCCTACAACCCAGTCATGGCCCTCATCTCTGGTCCATAACCAACCCCTCCTCCCCCAGGCAGCCTCCCAGGACTGTGTACCCCACATCTTTTTCACTCATTAGTCAACTCACTCACTCCACGTACACTCATTGCTTACACTCTTGGGCTTGGAGTCAGACTGCCTGGGCTTAAATCTTGTGTCTCTTGTGAGCTTGGCAAGATCCCTGACCTCTCTGGGCTTGGTTTCCTTTTCTTTAAAGGAAGAATAATACAAACATGTAACTCACGATGCGGGTTAAATGGCATCAGTCACGTGCAGCATTCAGTGAGTACCTAGCAGGGAGCAAGCCGCACGTTAGCTCTAACTGGCGGGCAGTGACGACCAAACCGTTGTGCCTGACAAGGAATAAGATACAGATTATGCCCAAGGCATGGGCAGTTCAGTTAAGGGCAGGAGTGGGAAGCCGGTATTAGGGAATCTCAGGGGAGGGGGGCCCAACTCTGCCCAGGCATCCAGGAAGGGAGGAGACACCCCCTAAAGCCGAGTTTTAATGATTCTTTTTTTTTTTAATGTTTATTTATTTCTAGGAGACAGAGAGAGAGAGAGACAGCGTGAGCAGGGGAGGGTCAGAGAGAGAGGGAGTCACAGACTGAAACAGGCTCCAGGCTCTGAGCTGGCAGTCAGCACAGAGCCCGACGCGGGGCTCGAACCCACGAACCGCGAGATCATGACCTAAGCGAAAGTCGGACGCTTAACCAACTAAGCCACCCAGGCACCCCTAAAGCCGAGTTTTAAAGGGTGAGTAGATGTCAGCAAGGTGAAGAAAAGCCAGGGTTCTTCAGTGTGTGGCACATTTCAGGAACCTCAGTGCCTTTGCTACCAGAGCTAGAGCCAGGCATGAGAGAGAGAGGGCTGCAGAGCTTGGAGAGGCGGCCAGGGGCTGGGTCACATGGGCTTGCAGATGTCATGGAAGAGTCGGAGCTTGGGCCTGGAGATGACAGGGAGCCTGGGGAAGGGCTCTGAGCAGAGAAGGGACACGATCAACCTGGTGTTTCAAGTAGGTCCTTCTGGGCTCTGTGGGGTACATCTCCTCTGCTTGGCTCCCCTTCGGCAATGATACTGCCCTTGGATGGCATCTTTGGAATGGTCAGGGAATCTGCTCTAACCAGGCCAATTTCCAAGGCCCATCCCAGCTACACTAGTGTGTGAACCACATATTCCCAACAGCTGAGGGTCACCACACCTGTCCAATAGGGTTTGCCGCCTTTCAGGCAGTTGGGGTTTATTAAGACACCTCTGAGCCCTTTGAGGGCAGAGGCTGCTTTATTCATTTTTGCATCTCCAGGCATAGAATACACATTTAGCAAATGCTTATTAGATGAACAAATGCTCATCAGTGACATCAAACTCTTCCTCTGAGCACTCCAGAGGCCCTGTGGGATCAGCATCAGAAAATCACCTAATTGGGATTTTCGTGGCCCAAGACCAGGGTGATAAAGGGTGTCAAACTGGCCAAGTTTGTTGTGCTGTCATTTGCTTCTTAATTTTCCAACACGTTATTTTTTAGTTGTTCCACGTATTGTCGCTTCTCGAATATTCTGTCATAATTCCGAATGAGTTAGGATTCCAAAGACCTGCCTTCCAGCTCCTGTTCATCAAGATAAACCAGGGAACCCCAAAGCCTTACCCTATGGTATGTAAAACCAGGGTGTGACTCACAATTGTTAAGGTGCTGACTGGCTTGGAAAACAGCTGTGTCCGTAATACTTGGTCATCGTTTGGACAACTTCCCTTCTTAGCCTCTCAGGCTCAAGGTGATAAAAGACAAAAGGTGTAGGCATTATAGCCAGACCTTGGCAGCCTTCAGCATGTCGCATAACCTGTAAAAGGGGGTGATATGGTCCCCCTGCCTACTTGCCCCGAGTCTTAGACTCAACGCCTGTAAGCAAGCTAACATTGGTTGGGCCCAGAAGATGTGCGGCTGAGCAAAAATGTCACCCTGCCGAGCCTCACTTTTCTCACTTGTAAAGTGGGGATAATAAAACCCACTTTGCAGACCACGTGCATTAATGTAGACATTAATGTAGATGAAGTGCTCACAGAGGTTCAAAGCCAGGAGTGGTTACTCAAGGTGACTTCTCAGAGAGCTGTCTGCCGAGGATTAAAGGGATGAGCATGAGGGTTGAATTAGGAAACATTTGAAAACTCACAACTACCCCAGGGTCAGTCCAGAACGAACTCCTGGGTCCTCCCCTCCCCTGCCTTCAGACTGGGCCCATCTCCATCTAGCACAGGTCCTGTTCAACCCGCTTGGAGAGGAGGCTCCCAGGGAGCAAGGTGGGAACAGCCACAGGTGAACGAGACCGTGACCATCTCAGCCCCAGCTGGGCTAGGACCTAGCAGGGACCTCAGATCCAGAACCTGAGGACATGTGTGCCCGTGTACCCAACCCACTGTCCCTTCCTCGGGCAGGGACAGTGTGCTGTGTGTCCCCCAGCTCCGCTTGGAAAAACACTTGGGGCAGATGTGGTCTGCCCAGATCTGAGCGGGGCCAGGGTAGAGCAGGCCGCCTTCCCTCTTCAGTCACTCGGTCTGGTTTGCTCACGAAATCTGTGCCGAGGGCTGACCTCCCTCCCGAGAGACTGTCACCCACAGTCACCACAGGTGGCGCATTCACCCTCTCCCCAAACCTGGACCTTCTGACAAAGGGGTGAAGGACAGGACAAAAGGGGCAGGTGCTTTCAGGAAGCTCGGTCACCCCCTCACCCCGCCCAACCCCAAGGCAGCTCCGTGGACACCCAAACTCTTCCCACTTCACAGGACAGGACGCGGCACTGGCAGATGCGTTCTCACGTCCGCGTGCTCCTGCACAGCTGGCCCCTCCACTAACATGGGAGTGATACCTTGTGGGATACTCCTGCATACACTGAGGAGACGGGCCAGCCCCACTGTCAGTGAGTGGGGCCCAGGGCAGGGTTGAGGCGGGAACATCTTGGAGTTTAAATTCAGAGCCCGCACCTACCTGCTGCAAGCCCCCAGCCCAGTGACCTTCCCTTCCTGGGCCAGCTCCTTGACCGTGAGACGTAGATATGCCATGAGCCTGCAGGTCTGTGAGGATTAGCCTACCTTGAAACTAAAGCTTGAAAGGGCACAGAGTACAACACTCTGTCAGTTTCCAGGGCGCCTGGGTGGCTCAGTTGGTTGGGCTTCTGACTTCAGCTCAGGTCATGATCTCATGGTTCGTGGGTTTGAGCCCCGCGTGGCGCCCTGTGCTGACAGCTTAGAGCCTGGAGGCTGCTTCGGATTCTGTGTCTCCCTCTCTCTCTGCCTCACCTCTGCTCACACTCTGTCTCTCTCTGTCCCTCAAAAATGAATAAATGTTAAAAAAAATAATAATAAAATTTTAAAAAATAAATGTCAGTTTCTTCCCTCCTGTCCCCCAGACCCCCACCGCTGTCTCACTATCTGACTGCCCCTCTGGTCACGACTTCTTCAAAGACGGCTATCTCGGTGAGGCCCATGCCACCTACAGGCTGGCCTCCAGAACACCCTCCCCAAAGGCCTCCGTCTCCCCAAGCTGCCCACCACCTGTGGCAGCTCCCCCAACGGGAGCCCCCAACTGCCTCTCTGCAGGAAAGAAGATACACACAGAGGCCCTGGAGTCTCTAGATCACTCCACCATGGTGGGATTTAATTCCATCTCAGACAAGCCTCAGCCTAACCATTGAACTTTGGCTGACAAAGCAACAGGCTAACACTTGGCCGTAACGTGTTTCATTTGTGCCGTCCACACCAGACACTGCATAGCACTGGAGTCAGCCCCCTGAGAGCACCCCCGCCGCCCTGCATAGAGGAGGATGGGGATGAATATTCAAAGCCAGGGAAGGGAGAGAAAAATGGGTACCCGACTGGGACTGCCCAGAGGGGGCGAGAGAGGCGCCCTTGTCTGGCAGGTGAGAGGGCGAACAGCAATCCAGGAAGGGGCGACGTGATTACACCCGTGGGACATGAACTTTCCCATGGGAGGGGGTGGGACCCTGGAAAAGGCTCTGTGCTCAGGGCGCCGGCTGGCTGCTTGTCCTCGGTGACAGCCCTGGAGGGAAGCGGAGATGGCCAGGAGGCTGTGGCAGCCTCATAGCTTCCTTTGGCCTTTCCAGCTGAGCTCAGGCAGAGAGAGCCGGAGCCAGCCCTCGGCGCCCCCGCGGGCCCCGGGAAGTCTGCATCAGGGCCGGAGGTGGGCTCCGAGGGCCCTCTCTACAGGTCACCAGAAGGGCTGCAGCCAAGCTGCCGCCTTCACCGCTGGGGACCACAGACAGTCCCTTCGAGTGACCGCTCTTCAGCTGCCGAGCAGTTCCCGTCTTTCAGGGAGAAGGCAAACGCTGGACTTCACTCTCTTCTGTCCTGACACACGTGTGCACATATTTAAGAGGCCAGCCAGGGAGGGAGAGGGACATGAGTGACACGTGCAGCCTGGCTTCTCCTCCTGGCGTAGAAGTGAGACTGTGGGTCTCCTCTGAGGCATCTCCTCCAGACACACAGCACACCCAGAGCCCGACTTGCGCCTCCCTGCTGGCTGAGTCACTCAAGGCTCAAGTCCGCGGGAACCAGCAGTTCCCCAGAAAGGACCAGAAGACACCGGAACAGAGGAGCTAGAGATCACTGGCTTGGGCCCTCGAGCGATGAGATGCTGTCAGTCCACACACACACTGCTCCCTTCCAGAAGGAACCGGAGGCCAGCACGCCCAGCCAGGGCGGGGCTGGGACTCCCAGGCAGGGCTGGAAGGGTACCCCTCAGGGCGGAAAGGCATCACCCTAGTGCGAGAGGTGTGAGATCCCCGGCTCCCCCGGCGCCTGCCCTCAGTCGTACCTGGGATGACAGCTGCCCCCACCGCTGCTCTTCTAAAGGCCTCAAGACAAAAATTCCTGAGAAGGGGGGGGTTCCCTCCACGCCTGCCTGTGGGGCCCGCAGACCGTTAGCTGTTGAACAAGGGAATCACCCGGGTGATCTCCTGTCTGCAGATGGGGCACCGCTTGGGCTCCGGCAAGGCGCGGTAGCACTGGGTGCAGGAACAAACGTGCCCGCACTCAAGAAAGACGCAGGACTTGAAGCTGCTCAGGCACACGACGCAGGCGCTCTTCAGACTCTCCCTGTCCTCGGGCTTGGCGCCGCTCAGCAGCTGCTCCTCGTGCTCCTGGAACTCCTTCTCCAGCTGCCTGAGGCGCAGCCGCTCCTGCCGCTGCACGTAGTGCTTCCGCAGGAGGAAGAAGAGGGCTGCACACGTGGCAAAGCCGAAGACCAGCGTCAGGACCTTCCAGAGCCGGACGCTCGACTCCTGCCTCTGCAGCAGGCTGTCGAAGTCCTGGCTGCTCAGGTAATACTGCATGCCCTGCTTGGGCGGCTGCAGGCGGACGGAGCTGCTGTCCAGGACCAGCTCGCCGACCCCCGTGAGCGTGGCCCCGACCTTCAGCATCTCCTCGGTCTCCTGGATACCTTTGGGCCGCTCGCCGCTGATATAGTGGCCGATGACGTCGGTGAAGGACTGGACGGAGGGGTGGAACTTCTTGTACACGGTCTCCAGGCCCAGGTCCTGGGAGTCCAGGGGCCTCAGCACTCGCACGGCCACGTCCACGCTGTCCTCGTGGGGCACCAGGTCAAAGGGCACCGTGTTGGTCCTCTGGTGGATGATCTTGGAACAGTCATTCCTAAAACGGCAAGAGAGCCCCAGAGGAAATAAAGGACAGCAGACACCCCACGCCCAGGCAGAGAGGGGGTGGCCTAGAGGCCAGGACAGGATAAAGTCTGACAGGACCAGAAGAATACACACAAACCACCACTTTCCAAGTGCCTCATGACAGGGAAGCTCAATTTTTTAGGTTCTCGGGCAATACCAGCGGGCACTAACCACTGTCAGAGAACATCTCTACCATTTGTTTCTCTTCGCCACGTTCAAATAAACATCCAATTTCTTACAAAAAAAAAAAATTAAAAATATAACTACCACAAAGGTGCCCAGGTGGCTCAAGGAGTTAAGCATCTGACATCGGCTCAGGTTGTGATCTCACAGTTCATGAGTTCAAGCCCCGCACTGGGCTGTGTGCTGCCGGCTCAGAGTCTGCTTCAGATCCTCTGTCCCCCCTTCTTTGTCCCTCCCCCACTTGCATACACTCTCTCTCTCACACAAAATAAATACACATTAAAATATATATATATATGATCCGGCAATCCCAATTCTCTGGGTATACATCCCAAAGAACTGAAATCAGGATCCTGAAGCGGGATCTGCACTTCTGTGTTCACTGCGACGTTCTTCACAGGAGCCGAGACACGGAAACAGCCGGGGCGCCCATCAGCAGATGGGTAGCTGGAGCATGACACACACACACAGTGGAACATTACTGAGCCATAAAAAAGAGGGAAGTTATGCCCTCTGTGGAGACAGCAGGGATGAGCCCAGAGGACACTATGCCGAGCGAGCGAGGCCACTCAGCAGGACAACAGCTGCATGATGCCATGTACATGAGGATCTAAAACAGTCACACTCGGAGAAACAGAGAGCAGAACGGTGGGTGCCAGGGGCCGGGCAAGACGAAAATGGGAGGTGCCATTCAATAGGTATGAAGTTTCGCTTCCATGAGGTGAAGAAAGTCTAGACACGTGCACACACCTTTGTGCCTGGAGCTAACGGCACGGCCTGCCACGCTCCACAGTGTGTGAGAGGGGCAGATCCCGTGTTAAACAATACAAAATACAAAACCAAAAAACCTAGGATCAGTTAGAAAAAGGGTTCTCTGAGTAACAACACAAAATTGTTGTAATAAATGCTGAATTCGATAGCCCATGCCACAAACCGGTGGTTCTCACGCTTCAGTGGACAAACCAACAGATTCCACATGTCCCCCCACCCCACCCCCATTGTGCAAATGCTGTTTCGGTAGGTCTGGAATTGCAGCCCAGGAACCTGCGTTTGAACAAGATGCCTCGGGGACTCTAACGGCAGGGGTCCTCGGGCCCCACGCAAGCATGCTGTTGGCGTGAAGACACTGGTCCGCGCACGACACCAGCGTCCGAGCCGCCCGGCAGTGAGGTGCGGCGGGGCCAGAGAGGGTGCGTACCAGAGGTGGGTTGTTCGGTTCCACACCATCTTGTGCTCCTGCAGGGTCAGCCGCTGAATCACTCCCTTGCAGTTTTCCACAAACTGGCTGTTAAGCGTTTCTTTAACGGATCGGACAGCTCCTAAATGGAAACAAGTTATTTTCATTTGTTTGAGCTTAATTAATCAAAATGGTGAAAACAATCATCACGGCAAGTTATGTTTTGCGGGAACTCTGCTAAGCACTTTACACAAACCCCTCATTTCAGCTTTATGATAGCCCTGTAAGGGAGGAATTCCTTTAAAGATGGGGCAAGGGAGGTTCAAAAAGGTTGGGTATCGCTCCAGGATCACACAGCAAAACCCCAGGTCTTTCTGACCCTGAAGCCCCAAGGCTACAAAAGGCTCTGAACAGCAGCCAAGGCTTTTAATCGAACTTTTAGAAGAAGTTTTTAATTTTACCAATAAACAAACATACCTTCGATAACAGCATAAGGCACACATTTTCCCGGAGCTTCTGAAAGAATGCTCTTTAAGTCTTCACCCAAGTGGATTCTTTTAGCTCCCTAAATGAAAACAGCATATTAAACTGACTGATGAATACTGCACGGTCTATCAAACCTAAAGGCCGAACAAGGAAACGACTATTTGCTTTTCTCATGTGGAGAGAATGAGGAAATCAGGCGGGAAGGAGACGGTGCAGTCACATTCCCAAGCTGTGCCCCGGAAGCTGCACCACGTAACCAGGTATCTGCCATCTAGAGAGCGGGCCAAGCCACGGGGCTCCCTCTCCAGTTACCGGAAACATACCCTCCTCTACATTTTAACTGTTCTAGGTGAAAATATCTGAGGTACTTATCAGTTTTCATATCATAGACCAAACATAACTTAATCTCTTCTTGATGACACCGAACCTCGCATCCCAAACACGGGGCAGTGGCCCGGGGAGGGGGGGGGTCTCAGCACACCTCCGTCTGTGCCCCCCGTTACACATGGCAGGAAAGGGGTGCCTTCGCCTTGTGGGGCAAAGCTGTTTGCTGGCACTACTCTCCTGCTTTCCCGTTCCTTGTTGTACTCGCGGGCAAGCAGGTGACAGCTGCTGTCCCCTCCCTGCTCCCGCCATCCCCTCCCATTCAGTTTCCGACCTGCTGCGCATGGGGACCGAGCACGCCGGGTACCTGCTGCACCACAAACAAGACAAAATTAATAAAATCGATGACCGTTTCCTGAGCACACACGTGCCAGGCACTGTGCGGGGCGCTAGGGATTCAGGGATGAATGAAGGACACTTCCTACTTGCAGGGTCTGGCCATCAACAAACCTGAAGGATGCCAGGTAAGTAAACCCACCGGGGCTGAGGGGGGGCTTGGCACTCTAAGGCCACTGAGGTCACTCTAAGGTGAAGCTAGTGCTACACAGCAAATGACAGGAGCTGCGTCGATTCAAGCTTACTAACCACCTACACTGAGGATAATACAAGCAGCAGCCTAGCAACAAACACTTACGGTCTGTTGTCTGTCATCCGTCTCCTTCCCCTGGGCTATTAAGATCTGGGAGAGCTGGGACCTTGCTTGTCTCGCCCCCTAGTGGCAAGAACAGTGCCTGACCCATAGCAGGCGCTCAACCCGTGTTTGATGAAGAAGTTAGAGAATCATCACTTAGACGGCCTGCAGTTGACCCTTGAATAATGCAGGGGTCAGGGGCACCGACCCCCCTACACAGATGAAAATCTGTATACAACTTAATTATTCATAGCCTACTTACGATTGATGAGAAGCCTTACTGATAACGCAAGCAGTCAACCAACACATATTTTGTTTATGTATGTACACTGTATTCCTATAATAAAGCATGCTAGAGAAAAGAAAGTATTTTTTAAAAATTATTAAGAGAAAATACATTTATTGTGCTGTATTTACTGAAAAACATCTCCAGGTAAGTGGACCCGGACGGTTCAAACCCATGTCGTTCGAAGGTCAGCTGTGTACACCAGGCACTGTGCTAAACACTTTAAGGGCACAAGTAATGTAGTGCTTCTACCATCCCTGTACAGTGGACACTATTGTCCCCAATTACAGGTAAGGAAACTGAGGCTCGGAGAGGTGAAGTGATTTGCTCGAAGTCACACAGCTGGGAAAGTGTCCACCACAGCATGGCCAGTTCAAACTTTTTTTTATAAAGACGAGAGGAAACAGGGTCAGAAAGACCCGGGGTTGAATCAGGCTTCAGTGTATCCACTGTGACTTTGAGCAGTTTAATTTACCGGAGTCTCCGTTTCCAAAACTTTTAAAAACTGGGGAGAAAAGCCTCTCCGGATTTTTAGGGGATTAAAGAAAGCCTGCGGTGTGAAAGGGCCTAGCCCAGGGACTGGCACATAGTAGGTATGCAAGAAATCTGCATTCCCATCACTATGAGGGATCCACAAGGATAAGACTCAAACCTACTCTGGAAGTTTTGCAATCTGATCAAGAGAAGAGAATGTAAAATGTTAGAAATCCCGACTCTTTCCGGAAGGGGCCATTTCATCCTCATTTGGGAACTAACTGGCAAGACTGTTCAAAACTGGTTCCTGGAGACTTCATGGTATCGAAGCTCCCACATTCAGGCAGCCCGCTGCCAACTTGATTTCTGACTTCAAGTGTCAGCAAGTGAAGTATCAGTTACACTCCTAGCCAATCACTTCAGGAGCGACTTGCTTATTTATAATCAGAAAAACAACTGGGCAGCAGCTGGACCCTCACTAAGAGGCCATCTGCACCACAAATCCAACTGCGAGGTAACCCAGTTCATTCTGGATGGGATTCCAAAACTCCCCTCCATAAGCACGATTTCACTGGAAACGATATGATGCTAATGAGCTAAGTTAGGTTTAGGAATCCTTCTTCAAATAAACGTCAAGTTAAACCCTAACTCTGACATTGTGACATTTCAGCCAAAAGGAATCGACAGACATTTACTGACCGTCTACCACTTGTCAAGATCGGAGTTAGAACCCAGAAGGAAAGAAAGAAAAAGGATAAAGAAGACCTGGGCTCGGACCTAAAGCGGTCCATCTCTCATGGGCCAGACATTCACAATAAGGCGATGTGGTCGATCAGAAAAAACCCCTACACTTGGAGTCAAAAGATCTCACTTTAAGTCCCAACCAGACCAGCTGTAAGACCTTTTCCTCTGCCTCTCAATTTCCTGCTTTGCAATCTGGAGGGAACTGTCATTTTCTCTACCTCAAAAACTTATTGTGAAGAAAAAAAAATAAATAAGATGAGATCGTGCTAAGCTGTAAAGGGCAGCCCAGGAAAGAGTTATTTTTAAAATAACTAAAATATTAAAAAAGGAAGAGTCTGTAGAAGCAAGGAAGTGAGTAGTTACATAAATGGGCAAAGTCGAGGGTTTCTGCACTTGCTGTTCCCTCCGTCTGAACTGTTCTTCCCCTAGACACCTGCACGGTCCCCCTCAGGAGGAGGGACCTGGGCTCTGTTAAATGTCACCTTATTTAAAATAGCAAACCTCCCTTTCTCCCGCATTGCATTTCCTCTCTTCCCCACATTATTTTGTCGTATTTTTCTCCCCATCTGTCCCACCATCTGATGCACTTGTTATGGTCTGTCTGCTGGTACCAGAATGCAATCTCCGTGAGGGCAGGGGCTTTCGTCCCTTCTATCCGTGCGGTATCCCCAGGGCCTGAAGCAGAGTCGGTGGTCAGTAAGTTATTTGTCGAATCAAGTAAGGAAGTCGAGGTTCTGGGTAACGAGCGGGACTTCGGAGAAAAGGGGCAGTGAAATGGTTATTACGAAACCCGAATTCTGATCCTAGCTCCTCCAGTGACCAGCGGAGCGACACCTGTCAGGGCCGGTTTCCTCTTTGGACAGTTTCCGACGCCGGAGCGGCCCAGCGGCACCGGGGACAGGGGTGACCCGGCTGAGGCCAGGCTGGCTCCAGCACTGACCTTGAGCTCTTGGGCGACCTGGGCCTTCTGCCGATACACGGAGTACAGGACGGCGGTGACGACAGAGCTGGTGCCCAAGAGGATGACCTGACCCAGCGAGGGCCGCCCTCCGCTCTCCATGGCCGCGCGCGGGCTGCGACGCCGAAGTCACGCCGCGCGCCCCCCGCACTCCGCGCCCTCCGCCCTGGACGCGACCCCGCACCGCCCTCCGCGAGCCCCGCGCTCTGTCCCCTGGCGATGACGCGCGGCGCCGGGACCGGAAGTGGGCGGGGCCGAGTAGACCGGAAGGCGGTGTTGCCTGGTTACCGCCCGGCTGCCCCGGCCTCCACAGTGGCTGCGTCTCCGTCGCAGAGGGAAGGACAGAGCTGGCTTGGAGGAGCTCAGAGATCGCTTGTCGCTCAGGACCCTTTTTCCCCTCGGACGCTCGGCGCACCGGCCGTAGTTGACGTGCTGGTGCCGCCCTGGTCTCGATCCCTCTGGTTTCCTGGCTTCCTGGGTTGTTTGATGGGTTCTTGGATGACTCCGGTCAGTGGACTGGGAGGAAGAGGACGAGTGTTAGCAAGCATTTAGGAGTATTGCACATTTTTTATTTTTTTTAATTTTTTTTAATGTTTTATTTATTTCTAGAAGAGAGAGAGAGAGACAGCGTGAGCAGGGGAGGGTCAGAGAGAGAGAGAGAAACAAAAACTGAAACAGGCTCCAGGCTCTGAGCTGGCAGTCAGCACAGAGCCCGACGCGGGGCTCGAACCCACGAACCGCGAGATCATGACCCGAGCGAAAGTCGGACGCCTAACGACTAAGCCACCCGGGCGCGCCGGAGTATTGCACATTTTATGCTCAGGGCAAACCTTGAGCCTGGGGTTTTATTCTTCCACTTTACAGAGGCGAAAACGGAGGCCGGGGAAGTTAGGGAATATGCGCACAGTCACACTGCTCATGAGTGCTAGAGAGGAATTTATCGGACTCCGGAGCCCTTACCTCCAAGAGGGCAGATTAGATCACCCAAGTAGCCCCTTAATCTGCCATCTTGGCGTGTATTTGTTAACCAATAATTACAGCTACTTTGCTGAGTGCCTGTTACGTGTCAGGAATTATGTGACAAAAGTATTACGGACATCCCATTTAATCCTCACAACACGACTAAAGAGCAGCTTTCAGACTATCTTTTGGCCTCTTTAGTGATTTCTTTACTAAAATAATCAGAAGATACACAAAATCTTACCCAAAACATCAATGGGTTCATCAGGCTGGTTCCTGCAGGTTATGCTTTTAAATTCCTGAAAGTGTAGGAGTGCACCCTCTGGTCAAAATATGTAAGGTGAATCTAAATTCTGTAAATTTCTCCACAAAAATAAAATCTCTTTATTAAAGAACTTGGCTATCCATGGCATTTTTCAACCACATTCCTTAATTATCCTTGGAGTCAGCCAAGAATTACTTTTCTGTGAACATGGAGTTAGAATCTCCAGATTGTTAACATCCGCAGATACTTTTGATGACTTTCAATCCAAGAAGTGATCATGAATTTGTCACACACATATACACTTAAAATGAAGTCTAACTTTATTTTAATGGAACTTGCACAAAAGTTAGTAACACATTGAGTTGGCAGAGGTGCAGGGACAGAGACTCTCATATTTTGCTGATGTGTGTGAAACTGGACATTCTTTAGCGTTAACAATTAGGCAGTGATGATCAAGATTAAAAGTGCCCACACCAATTGGCCTAGAAATTCCACTTCCAGAAATTCTTCCTACATTAATACTTACACATCTGAACAGGGCAAATGTACAAGATTATTCATTGCAGCATTGTTTTCAATAACAAAAGAATGAAAACCTCAACATTACCAAAGTTTCTTGGTTAACTAAGTTTTAAAAATGTGTATATACGAGCATAGTAAAGTGAAAAAGGAAAGTGCAAACCTGTTTAAATACGAGCCCATTTATTTTAAAAAGTTGGGGGGGGGGGGCCTGGGTGGCTCAGTGAGTTAAGTGTCCTACTCTTACTTAATCTCAGTTCAGGTCATGAACTCACGGTTTGTAGGTTCAAGCCCCATGTTGGGCTCTGCACTGAGCACAGAGCCTGCTTAGGATTCTCTCTTTGTTCCTCCCAACTCACACATATGCCCTCTCTCTCAAAATAAACTTTTTTTTTAAAAAGGAGGGGGAAATGTATATGTTTATATATACCTAGAAGGATTCATAAAAAGCTGATGATATTGCTTGTTTACGTAGAAAGGAATCTGGTGGCTAGAGAACAGAGTGACTTTTCACTCTCGTACTTTTTGAGCATAAATGTATGGCATATTTTGAATTAATAAAACTTGATTTAAAAAGATCAGGAAGAACACGCTACTCCACAGCCCATGAGTATGGGAGCCTCCTGCTTCCGAGGCTCTGGGTGGGTATTAGAAGATACAACCGTATATACACAGGCTCTGCCCTCTGGCTGTTTAGGGCCTTGGGGAGAAGTAGAAATGGACAGTTATCTATTATCCAGGCCCAATGGAATTAGGGCAAGCAAAATTCCGCCCCGGGTAGGGAGGTGCAGCTTATTTTCCTCGCTAGGGAAGGAATTTGAGGTCTATAAACAGAACGGAGGGTGGAGTGGAGAGATAGGAGTAGGAAAGACTTTTCACGCAGAGAGAGCAAGAAGAGCAGAAAGCGCAAGGCTACCAGGAGCTGGCAGGGCTAGCCCGAGCCCAGGACATGTGATGACAGAGAACAGGGAGCAAGTAATTCGAAAGGAAGGTTGCAGTCGGATCCTGTAGGCTTCTAAATGCCAAACCAAAAATTTCAACTTCGTCCTTTGGGAGATGCGATCTAGCAAAGCTGTTTGAGAAGCAGCAGCAGCACATGATCTAATCTGGTTTTGGGTTTTTTTTGTTTTTGTTTTTGTTTTTGTTTAATCATCAAAATTCCCATATCTTTAGCACACAGCAGGGGAAAGAGCAGCAAAGGGACTGTAAAAATGAAAACAGGTGTGGTGCCTCCACTGCTAGGAGTCCCTGTTTAAGGGTTCTGACTATTTGCTTTATTCTATAGACTCTTTCATGGGTTCCTTGGGAGCTTGTTAAAAGACCATCACTCTTAAATGAAACAGTTTGGTTTTAACCAACCCTGGCATTTCTTTGCCGAAGGCTAAAGTCCTTCATTAACCATGCTGAGCACGGTCTTACTGGGACATGTTGAAATGGGCATGATGTGGGCCTTGTTAGGAGTGATGAGAGATGGGCAGTTTCGGCTGCAGCCAGATGTCCCTAGGGAGCCATCATTCCCAGCTCAGAATGGCTGTCCTCACTGAATCACAAGGTTAAGATGAGCCTCTGATTTCAAGAAAGTGAGTTAAGTTCATAGAGCACCAGGCAGAGACTCGGGGTGGCGGGGGTTGGGGGGCAAACCTGGGGAGATGGATTACCAAGGACAATGTCACCACTGGAAACACTGAGAACCAGATTTACGCCATTGATTTTCTCTTAGAGGATCAACAATTCCCTGTGAGTTACTGGGTAAAGCCCCTCTTAGGCTGTCCATCCAGCGAGACAGGTAGCAGGGTGCCGGCACCAAATAAATATGAAAGCAGACATCTTAGCTCCTGCACTGATGTTACCAGACAGGTGCCACAGGACATCGAAAATAGAACAGATTCACATCCAACTATCACTCAGTGTCCTTACAGAACTTTCCATTGGGAGAGCCACTAACATAATAAGTATTAGGAATTAAATAATGTGTTCAACATATTTTTAATGAGCATTTTCCCCATGCACTCTACTCTCCCAGAAATGGGGGGGACATGGAAATAATGTATAGGACACGCCCCCCAACCTCTCGCAGGGTACAAGAGAGACTTTTTTTTCTTTTCACAATGATTGAAAAGAATCTGAGATGACGTCCTATGACAGAACATACCACAAAACAGATATATTAAAGATAAATATAGAAATCAATCAATCAGGGGCACCTGGATGGCTAAGTCAGTTGAGCGTTGATTCTTGGTTTTAGCTCAGGTCGTAATCTCACAGTTCATGGGTTCGAGCCTGGTATCAGGCTCTGTGCTGACAGCATGGGACCTGCTTGGGATTTTCCCTCTTTCTCTCTCTTTGGGGTGAATAGAACAGCCCTCTTTGCTCGCTCTCTTTTTCTCTCTCAAAAATAAATAAATAAATACTTTTTTATTTTTTTTAATGTTTCCATTTATTTCTAGGAGAGAGAGAGACAGTGTGAGCAGGGGAGGGTCAGAGAGAGAGGGAGTCACAGACTGAAACAGGCTCCAGGCTCTGAGCTGGCAGTCAGCACAGAGCCCGATGCGGGGCTCGAACCCATGAACCGCGAGATCATGACCTAAGCGAAAGTCGGACGCTTAACCGACTAAGCCACCCAGGCGCCCCAATAAATAAATACATTTAAAAAAGAAATCCATCAATAACAAAAGTCAGCTAAAGGAAGCAAGAAACAACCTGTTACTAGGCCCCTAGAATGAGTTAATCATTACAGTTGGACACCATCCTTGACTGTGAGCTTCCCAACAGCTATGGCAAAAAAGAAATACGCTGATCACGTAGAAAACATGGAGCAGCAATCCCTATCAAAATAACACCAGCATTCTTTGCAGAGCTAGAACAAACAATCCTAAAATTTCTATGGAACCAGAAAAGACCCTGAATAGCCAAAGCAATCTTTAAAAAGAAAACCAAAGCTGGAGGCATCACAATCGCGGACTTCAAGGTGTATTTCAAAGCTGTAATCATCAAGACAGTGTGGTACTGGCACAAAAACAGACACTCAGATCAATGGAACAGACTAGAGAACCCAAAAATGGGCCCACAACCATACGACTAACTGACCTTTCACAAAGCAGGAGAGAATATCCAATGGAATAAAGACAGTCTCTTCAGCAAATGGTACTGGGAAAATGGGACAGCGACTTGCAGAAAAATGAACCTGGACTCTTTCTTACACCATACACAAAAATAAACTCAAGATGGATGAAAGACCTAAACGTAAGACAGGAAGCCATCAAAATTCCTAGAGGAGAAAGCAGGCAAAAGCCTCTTTTACCTCAGCCACAGCAACTTCTTACTCAACACGTCTCCAGAGGCAAAGGAAACAAGAGCAAAAATGAGCTATTGGGACCTCATCAAAAAAAACCTTCTGTACAGCGAAGGAAACAATCAGCAAAACTAAAAGGCAAACAACGGAATG